GGGGGGGGGGGGGGGGGGGGAGGGAAGGATCAGGCAAAGGAGAGATTGCCTACAGAAATCACTTGCTTTTCTTCACCCTCCCCTCCCAGAGCAGAGAGATTGGAGAGAAAGAGATTTCAAGAGAGTACTGTAAGTTGTTTGTGTAGCATGCCCACAGCTCCTAGCCCTGGGCGGCAGTGTGATCACATTGCTTTTGATGTGTAGAAGAGCAAACAGCTGACTTTCTTGCAATCCCTTTTTTCCCCAATCTCTCTGCTCTTCAAGGGAGGAAAAAAAGAAAAAAACACAGGTCAGGTACAGGACAACACGTACTGACTGTAATGGTGATCACATGACTGCGGAACACTGCAAAAATCATAGATGGTCATAAATGGGCCATACAGTTATTTTTTTCAGCACCATCATAATTTGAACAGTCACTGAACGAATGGTCAGTAAGTGAGGACTACCTATATACAGATACACACTCCTCACATTTTATCGCCCTTTCATCAAGGCTTGCAAATTTTCAAAGTTACATTATTTCTTTGAGGGAGAAAATAGTTTGAGGCTTCTGCTTGCAGACTTCAAACATCAAAAAGTAATCCTCATTCTTAACTGAGGAAGAAAGAAAGCTGCAGACAGTAAAACATAATAAGAATCCCAAGTTTCTGTCACTGACTTATTAGATTTTTACAAGCATGTCTGTTATCTATTTTTTGTACATACATGACTTTAGCTAGGTAGTTGGGAGGAAGCTACACTGCATCATAAAACTAATGAGGAAAAGACAGTTAGGAAGTTTGGCCAGTTCCTCAAACAACAACAAAATTATATAGGTTGAGAACTCCAAAAATTATTACATGAAAGAACCACCTCCCCACAACTAATTCTAGCTTGGTGTTAACCTGTGAAAAAACAAAAACAAGGTTAAAAAAGAAAAAGCACCAGTTGTTCCTCAGCACTTATGTTCAGTGTTATTATCTCCGAACGTAGAGATTCAACACTGCTGTTACAGTAGCCACTGATGGATTTATCCTTCAGAAATATTGATCTCATTAAGAAAATACAAATTAGTGACTTTCTATACATTTGTGGCAGTGAAATCCATAATTAATGTATACAATGAACTTGGAAACTGCTTTATGGAAGTTATTTATTCCTGTTTGTTCATCTGATTGTTTTCATCCCTGCCACTCAAGCAGTTATTTTCATTCCCTTCAGACAGAAAATGTCAGGAAGCATGCCCTTCTTCTATATAGAGAAAGTGATGCCCTTGTGGTGGAGTTTAGTTGGGATGGGCTTTTCCTTTCCAAACCCATGCTCAATGAAATCACTGAACTCATGGTGGGAGGAATTGTGCAGAACAACCTGACTCTTGCACCAAAGCTAGCAACAAATGGCAAATTATCAGAACTAAAGATATACTAGTGTAATGTTCTAGTTTTCAGCTGATGCTGGTATTTAGAGATATTTAGAGAAGGAATACAATACAGGCATGGGCAGATTTACATCCTAGAATATTAGCTGAGAGGAGGGAATTTAAGGAAATTATTAAATAATGATTATTTTAAAAAGAGATTATCCCAATAGAGATTCTTGGGGCCAATATTCTTATCATCTTTCTTTGATAGTGAGAAATATCAATTTATTCCTATTCTCTTCTATATTTTAACCAAGTATTATTTATTATTTTTTTGATTGATTTATATAGCCGCCCATCTCAGTACATGACTCTGGGTGGCTCACAACATTCAAACAAAGATATATACTAATACAAAATTAATTAATTAATCCATCCCAGGACTTATTCTCTTTTCTCATATTTGTTAAAACTACTCATAAACCTTTGTTGTCAGAGCTTATTAATAGCTTTCAAACTATATCCAAAACAGATCACCATTATCATTTTTAGAACTCTAAAAGATTAATGAGGCAGGACATCTTTTTATAGGAGTGATACTGATTTTCAGGCAGCTATTCTGTGACCTGCTTGGTAATTTCATTTTTAATTACGTTTTAAGAACACCGTCTTAAGTTTGTATAAAGACTTATTTATAGATATGATCATTTTGACAAAGTTTGACATATAAACTTAATATGAATGATAAACCAACACAGATAACAAGATAGTATAAGATACAACCTTTGATCCAATAGTTAGAGGGAATAATACATAATCCCCGAGGTGGTGGAATAGGATAAACTTGGAGCCTGAGGATTGTATGGGTTGATGGACTAGAGGTGGTGGGACAGGGAGCTGGTTTTCTTGGTTTTGATTTCATTAACGTTGTGAGCTGCCCAGAGTTGCCTTTTACAAGATGGACAGCCATATAAATCTTTTATCTAAATTACATAAATAAAGCCTAAAAAGGACTTAAGTAAGTTTTCTGATCTTCAACAGCTTCAAGTGCTCATGATTAATTATTTGCCTTTTCACAATAAACCCAGCTCAGAAAAGACTGCTAGGGGAATTTCTTACTTTAATGCAGGGGTCCCCAACCCCCAGGCCACAGACCAGTACTGGTCCATGGCCTGTTAGGAACCGGACCGCACAGCAGGAGGTGAGTGGCAGGTGAGCGAAGCTTCATCTGTACTTACAGCCGCTCCCCATCGCTTGCATTACCGCCTGAGCTCCGCCTCCTGTCAGATCAGCGGCGGCATTAGATTCTCATAGGAGCACGAACCCTACTATGAACTGCGCATGTGAGGGATCTAGGTTGCGCACTCCTTATGAGAATCTAATGCCTGAAGATCTGAGGTAGAGCTGAGGTGGTGATGCTAGCGCTGGGGAGCGGCTGCAAATACAGATTATAATTAGCAGAGAGGTTTGACTGCTCAGAGACCATAATAAATCAATTGCTTGCAGACTCATATCAAAACCCTATCATGTAATGCACTTGAATCATCCTGAAACCATCCTCCCCCAGTCTGTGGAAAAATTATCTTCCACGAAACCGGACCCTGGTGCCAAAAAGCTTGGGGACCACTGCTTTAATGAGTACCACTCTTCCCTGTACTCATGTTGACCTTGTTTTAAATGACTATTTTTTCTTAAATATTAGACTACAAGTATAGATTACAGCTTCAGTATTTTCCTTACACATCCTTTTGATGACCAATCCAACACTCTACCATCTTGCAAAAATCTAACATTCAAGGAACAATATCACTGGAAATTCTTTTACAGAAATTCATTAGAAATCAATTGGCAAGCATATGACAACTAATTGAGGGATTTCTAGTGCACGCTGCAATTCATAAGTGGTATATTGATGGGAGAAACTTTGAATTACACCTACAGATTCTTTAAAACAGATACTCAAATGAGGCCAATCCAATTTTGTGTTACCTACAGAAAAAGAATTCAGGGTGGCACCTTTTCTGTTGCCATTTACCTAATTTATTTTCATTATACTGGAAAACATGAAGCAAGAAAAAAATTGAATATAGTTTAAGCACTTACCTCCAAATAGTTCCAATTCCCTTAAACCCTCAAAAATAAATTTTTCCGACATCCACCGCTGTGAAAGAAAAAAACCCAGAAAGTAATATGACATAATTATCATAATTCTACTTAATCAAAGGAAAAAAACAGCACAATCCTTTGACTTAAAATATAACAGCAGAGAAATGTTTAGAGACAATGCAAGCCATAATTTGTTATTATATGAATATGCAGTAAAGAATTTCATTCTTTCATTTGTTACCATTCTTTTCTGTTATAGTGATTCCCTTTTTCCTTTTTAATAATTTTTATTGAAGAAATTTTTAACAAAGTAAAAAAACATAACAGAAAATAGATAATAAAGAAGAATAGTAAATAGTGAAAAGAGGGAAAAAAGGAAAAGAAAGATTAAAAAGAAGTGGCTTCCAATCTTCTTGACAGCAATTATAGATACATTTTACTTTGCCCTTTTTCTCTAAGGTTACATCATAATTTCCTTCTTTCCATAAGCTACCCTTTCTAATCTTCAACCCCATAAATCACAAGTTCATTTTTCTCTTTTTTCAGCAAAAAGTCCATAAAGGGTTTCCAGTCACTAATAAATGTAGTTGTTGATCTTTCTCTAATCAAACAGGTTAATTTTGCCATAACAGAAAAGAATGGTAACAAATGAAAGAATGAAATTCTTTACTGCATCCCTTTCTAATCTTCAACCCCATAAATCACAAGTTCATTTTTCTCTTTTTTCAGCAAAAAGTCCATAAAGGGTTTCCAGTCACTAATAAATGTAGTTGTTGATCTTTCTCTAATCAAACAGGTTAATTTTGCCATTTCTACTAGTTCTGTCACATTCACCAACCATTCCTCCATTGTGGGTATTTCAGAGTATTTCCATTTTTGTGCATATAATAGTCTTGTAGCAGTAACTATATATAACAATAAACTTCCATGGCCCTTTTCTAATTGACTGTCCATTAATCCCAGCAAGAAGAATTCTGGTTTCAGTTGAATGTTAATCTTTAACATTCTTTGTATCATTATATATATTTGAACCCAGAAGTTTCTGGCTTTTTTACAGGTCCACCAGGTATGATAAAATGACCCTTCGTGTTGTCCACATTTCCAACATAAATCTGAAGTACTTTTATACATTCTAGACAATTCTTCAGGAGTCATGTACCAATCATTTTATAAACATTCTCTTTAAAATTATAACATATTATAAATTTCAATCCTTTTAACCACATATTTTCCCACTGCTCCATCAGTATATTGTGTCCAGAGTTCTTAGCCCATTTTGTCAGTCTTTCACTTGTTCTTCCATTTCAAATTTCAATGAAATTTTATACATTTTAGCAATTACATGTTCATCATTTATACATAGGTCAAGTTCAAATTCTGTCATCTGCTGCTCAATTCCAAATGTCCTATTATCTTCCTTAAATCTTTATCTTAACTGTGCATATGGAAACCACTGAAAACTAAATACCTCTGCAGCCAGTTGCTCTCTTGATTTCATCTTATATTCTCTATGTTCCTGTTCTAACAACTCTCAGTAAGTTAACCATTTTTTCTTTACCCACTGTTTCTTTCCTGTAAAATGCTTGTTGTGCTGAGACCCATAAAGGCATTTTCAGGCAT